TCGTCAACTCTTCGCTGATCAATTTTGCAGTTCAATACTGCCATTGATGGCTTAATGACTCGTCGACTTTCTTATTAGGCCGTTTACGAGACGAGACGATTTTAACATCAACACCGAATACATTTCGCAATGGGACGATAGATTTTTCTCCGTGATAATGCCAGCTGGGCGAAGAAAATGATGTCGAAATAGTTCGGGGTATCAGCAAATATCGGTACGGAGTCCACTAAACACCCGATGATCACAGCCTAACGTGAACAGATAACTAGAAAATGATACACCGATCGATCGTTGTCGCTCTTTCCGTACTCGGTGGAACTCGTCGAATTCCTGCCGCCGTCGTGTTCACTGGATATGAGAAGATCAACTTCTGTATAGATCGTGATCTGTATGATTCTCTTTTCGCATTGAGGGAGGATGACATCTGGGAAGTTGTCTTGAACAAAGCTGACGTCAAGTTACATTACAAGACATCTGCATAGGACCCGTAAAGAGTCTCACAAGGAGGGACGTTCCTGATGCTACGGTATCACCGCTCAATGGGCAAATTCTGTACTCAAATCTCAAGAATAGAGGTGTCGATCGTAAGGTGTCCTGCTCGTTTATTCTGCTCTAACGGGTCATGCAGTCACTTGTCTTGATCCCTATTCGGAAGTCACCAATCACATCAATCTGTGCCTCCAGGACTCCTTCACACTGACACCGCCGCTGTCTGGAATTTCCATAATGATCTTGGAAACTGCCATCTTGACCGGTTGTTTCAGTATGGCTCATGTGCATTGTCCAGAAACAATTCCGTACACAAGCTCGGCGACTCTATGTGATGGGGGTCCTCAAATCCCACGAGTCATTCAACATTCACAGTGCTGTCGGCTTCCTCATGGCCTGTAGGAATTACCAATCGAGATCGTGGATCCACTGCTGGAACTTTGTTCCTGGCAGGACCTACGGATCCGATCGTGGATGCCCATCTCAATAAGCGTGGTATTCGCCCCACGGGTTCATGCGCACGGCGCATTCGTACGTGCAGTCACTTCAGCACTTATCCTCCAACCAGATATTACTAACTTAAGGGGTCTACTGCAAGTGGGTTTCCGAAGCTTAGTCAACTCGCAGAGTAAGTACTCTGTTCACTGCTTGGTCATTTTTGTGTAATTCTTTGGGTGTGTACATGTACGTGACTGAAGTTTCATGCTGCTGGCTTGATCCGAATATCTCAAACCAAACATTGGGTTTGTGGAACAAATAGAGTGTGCAGCTCCTATTTGTCTCGAGCCGATATTCAAATTGAAAACGTGATTGGTGCGCAGAATCAACTACTTGACTGTTCGTCGCTTATTCGTTGGTACCTCTGGCGGGGCGTCCCAAAGTACAATCACTCGAGAGCTCTTGATCTCTACCGATGGCATTACACAAGCCTCCAACCCCACCAGTAAAATGAGCGATTGAAACTTATGTCATCCGGTTTACTAGTCAGATTGGTTTTGCTTGGGGTCAGATTGTTTGCCGAACCCGCATCCTAGCCGGTGTGCACATACACCCTGATGTTTATTGTAGTATTCCACTCACGATAACATGGTATGTCTCCCCTCCAAGCTGACCCGGCAAGCCAGTATCGTCCGATGGTAATTAGCTGTCGATCTACCACTGTTGAAATGTTTGAGCAGTTCAGCTCTGAGCTTCCACTCGGTATTTCACCATTCCACACCACGTTCATCTGTTTTCTGTCCTTTTACCGCTGGCTACAAGATTTTCCCTTTCTCACATGCACTCGTCTCATTGGTGGAACCACTAGTTAAACAGTTGAACTTAATGACATAACCGGTACTATTTCCCGGAACTTCGCCATGCCATTGATGAGCACTAAGCGATGGGATCTCTCGTCAAGTGCATCGAGAAGGACGGAACAATTTCACCGTCAGAAGATTTCAAATAACGCCACCGAATATCTTCCATGAACTCGGGCTGATAAGAATCAAGTTTCACGCAACATACTTAGGCATTCTTGCCAGGGCTACCGGGGAACTCCGCGAAGTTTCACAAACCGGTGACATCTTGAACGGCGTTCTTGGCCTAGAGGCCAGTATCTCGTCATCCTTGAAACCCCTCGACGTCATCGTTCCAAAAGACCACTAGAAGTTTGAACACGTAGCGAAGCCTATCTCGTTTACTTAGGGTAATCGCGATCCCATGTTGTGAAAGTTGTCAACTCCGACGATATCATAGGGTGTCTGCGACCTCACGAGACCGAGGAAGCGAAGAAGTACGTCAAGTAGCGTTATTTTTGCGAAGCTCGCGGGGTAGGGAAGCCCGAGCTGGAGAAGAAGTACGAAGTCGTGCGTACCAGTACTGCCAAACTCTTGGGCTCCGACCTTCGGAACAAAAAACTATAGATAATTCGTGGAACCTCGAGGCGAGGGGTTTCTGCTTGAAAAATTTCGCGACAGGTCCTGGATGCTATTACACTGCAGGCTCGTGTGTAGTTACGTGCTCAGGCTCGCTTGCAATAGTACAATGAAACCTACCTGAAGGGTAACCAAGAGGACAAATTATGTGGTTAGTTTCCGTACCACGAATGGTAGACGCAAGTTTGTGTGGGATGAACTGACGAGGAAACAATTTAGGAATTTGGATGGGACGTGAAGGTATCGTATGTCTTACTTGATGACTTTGACTGTTACGGTCAAAGTCATCAGGTAAGACATCTATACTGATTGTTAATGTACCTATAAAATACCCAGTGGTAAGTTCTTACAGAGTTAAAGATGTGACTTTGACTTACCAAGTTTCTCTTCAGATATTCAAGAGTCAATCCACGAACCCTCACGGTCAGGCAAGAGCGACCGGGAAAACCTGATTGAAACAAAGTTTTGCACCAGTCTGTCTGTGTAAACATTCCTATCGCAACATTGAACAGCCATGATTCGTTTCCACCACAAATGCTCTCATACAGCCCATTGTCGAGTGGCTTCGGGCCTGACATGAGAGGTTAGCCTAAACAGAATTCGCATGGAGTTGTGATAAACGTGTAAGCAACGCACAGCAATCTTACATCGCGGGCCTTTACTAGGCCAATTCAGCTCACAGACCGGAGGCCATGAGCCATCCCAAGAGCTGAATGGTGGTTGCAAGGGCGACTGCCACTGATCTCTGAGAGTCCAATGCTATTCCTGTCGACAAATTTCGGGCGAATTTCTACAAAAGTCAAAGACACGTTTGTCGACATTAGCAAGAAGTGATGGGATCGGCCCCCCAAAGAGACACGCTTGTGGAAAACCGACACCGGGATCCCACAGCGCCTACTAATAATCGTGCAAAATTGCGATGTATTTTAACAAAAGCTATACCAAAAAAGGCAACTGGCACCGGTAACTGTTAAAGAGGAATAAAACACTCACGTTCGAAACGGGCCGATCGTATGATCTCACCGTGGCTGAGCGCGTATATCACTAGTAGTAAGCATCGTTCGAACGACCAATTCTCTCTCTCTCTAAGACCACCATGACCACATCTCTTGACCTTCTTAAACAGACTGGAACTGTTGTTGTCTCCGACTCCGGTGACTTCGAATGTATGTTCGCCATTGTCCATCCTGCTGATCATGCACTGATATTCTGGTTAATCTTATCAGCAATCGATGTTTACAAACCACAGGTAATCGCTACAATGAATCTATGTTTAATGCACCTGTAATTAAACAGTATATTGTTAGGATGCTACTACAAATCCATCCTTGATCTTGGCTGCTGCCAACAAGCCAGGATATTCCCGCCTCATTGATGCCGCCATCAAAGTCGGCAAGAGCAAGGGCGGTGACCTCGAGCATCAAACTAATGCTGCTATGGACCGTCTGGTCTGTCTTTGTCAGCCTTGCGCTGATACTCTTATTGATCAATATTTATAATCAGCTTGTCGAGTTTGGCAAGGAGATTCTTGCTATCATCCCTGGTCGTGTATCGACGGAAGTCGATGCTCGTCTCTCCTTTGACAAGGAGGGCACCAAGGCTAAGGCAAGTGATGTTGTCACATATCCTGACTGGCTCCTTATTTTTATCTATTCTCAGGCTAAGGAGCTCATTGCCCTCTACGAGTCTGTTGGTATCAAGAAGGAGCGTGTTCTCATCAAAATCGCAGCGACGTGGGAGGGTATCCAGGCCGCTCGTGAACTCGAGCGTGATGACAACATCCACTGCAACTTGACCCTTCTTTTCGGTTTCGGCCAGGCCGTCGCTTGCGCTGAGGCAGGTGTCACCCTCATCTCGCCCTTCGTTGGACGTGTATGTCTCCATCATTTATCCTATCTATGTTCGACTGATTGATATCTTGGATTCAGATCCTCGACTGGTACAAGAAGTCGACGGGCAAGACCTACGAGGGTGATGCGGACCCTGGTGTCCAGTCCGTGAAGAAGATCTTCAACTACTACAAGCAACACGGCTACAAGACCATCGTCATGGGTGCTTCCTTCCGTAACGTGCGTACTTGTTCGCTCATGCAACACTACACGAGTCTTACTCAGTTTGCAGGTTGGCGAGATTAAGGCCCTTGCTGGTGTTGACTTCCTCACCATTGCCCCCGCGCTGCTCGAGGAACTCAAGAACTCGACCGAGCCCGTTCCCAAGAGGCTCGACGCCCGTGTTGGTATGTACCTTGTGGCTTCCATCTAACGAACGACTAAATCCCCTCCTAAGCTGCACAAGCCGAGCCCCTGCCCAAGGTCTCTTTCGTCGACAACGAGCCCGAGTTCCGCTGGACCCTTCTCCAGGACTCGATGGCATTCGACAAGTTGCACGAGGGTATCAAGAAGTTTGCTGAGGATGGTGAGACCCTCAAAAGCCTCCTCCGCCAGAAGTTGCGTGCTTGAGTTTTCGGCGATTTATAACAAGGGAATGAGTAGTTGTAATAATACTGTAGTTACACTTCGGTTCACATTAACAAAATCCACCGTGTATTTGGCAATAGACTTTTTCTTCTGCGCATTGCTAGCATATATATTCACCTGCGGCGATAAAGTTCGATGAGTATTTGAAGGTTCATGAATGCATGTATTGCGTGTGTGCAATTAGAATGAGGCATACATACACGTAACTATGTTGCGATAACAGGCAATGAAAATAACAATCTAGAGACGTAAAATAATCCGAGAAGTCACATATTTCGTGGGTTATGAAACATCATTACTAGAGACAAGACTGTATACGATTAGAACACAGCTTTCCTAACATTACACATCGTCACTCACCATACAGGTATACTTCCAAGAAGCATGCAAAATGAACGGACGATCACAATATCGATCGATCATTCAGAGAGCCAATACGCCCTCCTCCCACTCTTCCCTCGTGACAGATCCCAAATCACGGCATACTGGGCACGACACCTCCACGTGCGGCTCCGTTTTATCTTCCGCGCCCCATCCGGCAACGCGCTCCGCACTAACTAAGCACGCAGGGTGGAATGTGTGCGCGCACAAAGATCCTTCTCCAGGATGCAATAATGGATGTATTGAGAGCTGCTTCATTGACTCAGCCAGTATTTCAGGGACGGGGTCTTCGTCAGACGGGCCAATGCCACACGACGGATCGTAGCACCGTAGGCCCGCCTCGCGCTCCTTCTGCTCCACTCGTTGCCGCAGCGAGGGACCGGGTGCGGCAGGCAGCATCCATGTCTTCCTCTCGCGGCGCGGAGGCATTGGGCGCGTCGGGCGGATAGGGTGCGTGTGTGGGAAGTTGAATGGCGGTATCGGTAGGGAAGCACCGCCTGGATGGGGCGGAGGCGCATTAATAGGAGGAACCTGGGCTTCATCAGCAGGTGGCTCCTGCCCTTGTGCAGGCTGAGGCTGCCCCTCTGGTGCAGCGGGTCCGTTGTTGAACATTGGGATGGGGATGAAGGTACGTGTAGCATTTTGAATGAGATTGTTGATAAAGTTTTGGAACTCGAACTCCTGGGGCACCTCGCCGACAGGCGGTGCTCGGCCTTGCCTTTGCCCTGGAGGTTGGTTCTGCTGCTGCTCCTGGACCCCATCTTGAGGCTGAGGCTGCTGCTGTGATTCCGGCTCCCCTTGTGGCTGGGACTGCCCCTGTGTGTGAGGCTGCTGCTGCGGCAGTGGCATATCTGCGGGTAACGATTCGTTGAAGATCAGATCAAGGCCGATGGTCATGAAGTCGCCTGCTTGCGGCCCGCCGAAGGGACGGTTATCTGCAATAGTAGGAAGGGACTGCGTACGTGTTCGAGGAACTGGAGGCGGTGGCATGGGGCCTGCTCCAGCACGACGAAAGAAGTCCTGGAAAGCGTTTCCTCCGGGAAACTGCAGGATATGTACAGTGGCTCCAGGGCCTGCGGATACGCCGTTCGATAGGGTGAAGCCCTGGCCAGGTTGGCCAGGGTTGAAGAAATTAGGAGGAACTTGGTTAGCTGCAGGCTGAGGCGCTGGCTCAGCAGCTGCAGCTTCAAAGGCGGTGGGTCCTGCAGGCGGAGGAGCGGCCGCAGGTTGTTCGGCAGTAGAAGCTGGTACAGGTTGTGCTGCACCAGATGCAGGCGCGGGAGCTGCTTGGGCAGCAGGAGCAGCACCGTTTGCTTGTGGAGCTGAACGAGGTGCTCCAAAGTTGAAAGGCTGATAAGGAAGCGGTGAACTGGTAAGGTTCTCGGGATCAATGTTGAACCGACATGTTGGACACGTCGCTTGCTTCGCCCTTGTAAACCAGGGGAGCAAACAGGATTCGTGGAAGACATGAGCACAAGGGAGGGAGATGATTTTGGGCTCCTCAGGGACGGATGATTCTAACGGAGAGTTGGAGCTTTGAGAGCTGGACAGCAGATCTGAATCTGTCGGGATGGGCATCGATGGAGTAGACCCAGAATCGGTGCTCATCGGCGTATTTGATTCTCCTTCAGGTGCAGTAGTCAATGTTTCGGTGCTGGCTCCAGCGGAGGGTTCCTCTGGAGCCTTTGCTTTGAAACTATCACTCTCGGCATCCAATAAAGTATCCCAGCAGATTGCGCATCCTGGAGAGGAAGATTCGGTAGTCTCTGCACCATCTACGTGTCCACCAGGCGCACCACCAACTCTTTCCAAGCGCTTTACGAGCCCTACGGGTACAGCCTCCAAACCCGCAATGAGTTTCTTCGCTCGTTCAGGATCTTCTCGACTGTCATCAAGCCCCCCAAATTGCTGCATTTGCTGCAAGAAATCTGCGAATGCTTGGAGAAACCCATCCCGACCTCCTCCAGCAGCATCTGGAGGTACATTTGCTGGACCAAATGGGGGCGGGGCGGGGCCGCCTCCGTTCTGATTCGGAGGACCTCCAAGAGGAATTGTGAAAGTAAAACCTGCAGTCAAGATAGGCACGGCATGATGTACGTGACCAGGGATTGGATTATTTTGCGGTCGCGGAGGATGGGCGACGCCCTCACCAGTATGTTCTACCGCAATATTCTCAGCGCCAGGACTAGGTCCTGGAAATGTATTACCACCAGGCAATGGATTCATCCCAAATAAGGGAGCCATGAACCCGTCTAGGAATGCCTGGTTGCCGGCAGGTGGGCGCTGCTCGGGTTAGACGGTTGTGGAGGAGGGATAGGAGGTGAGGCAGGACGACCTACACGCTCTGAAGGATGCCTACGATCCCGCGCTTCGTCTACATCATCATCCACCCGAGCGCGTCTACTCCCGGCGATAGGCTCGAGCGGTGGCAGATCGTCTTCATCATCCGTCCAGTCACTGTCGTGATCATCGTCGACAGTCAGGAGATTAGGTAGTGTCTCTGCACGAGAGAATTGGCTGTCGTCTGACTCATCAGAGTCTGACACGGAACGCAGCTCAGGCATAGAGTCCTCATCGTCATCGCGGGTGGGCTGAGCTTGTAAGGATGAGATGGTTGAAGCAGATGGCATATCTACATCTTCAGCGAATGGTCCAGACTGGGAAGTCCGGAGCGGCAGGGCAGAAGTTTCTGGAACTGGAGTCCTGTCGCGATCTACGGCAAGCGCGTGAGCGTCTATGGGCTCGAGTGGAGGCGCGTCAGACATGACGACTTCCTGTGTAGAGTCCTGCTGTGCAGAATGACTATGATTGTGGGAAAAAGCCTGGTTTATATTTCGAAATACGTTCTGAATTGACGTTGGTAGATGGAAGTTGTGACCAAAACGATGACCACGACCGTCCTCATTACCGCCGTTATTGTTGTCCATGGAAAATCTGAAACTCTGCTCTACAGTGTATGCAGTCGCAGAAAAGAAAGTGGTAGTGGTGCTGGTGATAGTGGTAGTGGCGGTCGTAGAACAAGAACGAACGAACGATTGTCTCTTGGACCAGGGCAATCTATGCACAATGCCGTGTTGATGACTAATGCAGTATCGATGACCAATCACAGCCTGGTACCCTCCAGTAAGCACCAGAATATTCCCTATCTGTTTCTCTCCCACTTCGGACAAATGTCGAGCATAACTTAATTATAACAGAGGAACTTCATTCATGCGCAATAAGTACCTACAAGTAGTATATAAGGGATATCAGCAATATAATATGAAGTCTCACTGCGCCTTCTTCCCCTTTCCTTTCCCTCTTCGCTTCTGCTTCTGCTTTCCGACGTACTTGCGCACGCTTGGCAAGCCGAACTATATTCTTAGTTTCAGCCAACGCCAAAGACACAAACGCTCAATGAACAAGGGGCACTCACCCTGATCGCAGGATATAACACCAACAAGATTCCCCCAATCATCCATGCCCACCGAACATACAATGGAAACGGCTCCGTGAACTGGCCCTTGCTCCATTTAGTGATAACCATAAGTTCGGTCAGGATCGTGGCTAGAAGGAGCCACACATGTTGCCCCATCCGTTTCGCTTTCCTAATAGCGATGGAAGTAAGAAGATTCCCGGGCGTCACTCCACAGCATACATACCTTGGGTTATTTATGTATAGGTAAAGCTCTCGCACAGCAGGCAATGCGCAAAGAAAGACGCCTGCAAGCCTTAGTATCACAATCGGATGATCAGGCTCCATCCAAAGCAGACTCTACAGATACCGTGAGAACCGTAACAAGGGTAACTGGCATATCAGCATGCTCACCTTGAGATAGAATGGATTCAGCTCCGCAGCAAGAAAGACTGCTAGGAGCAATACAACTATCAAATAGTGCAAGAACGATGCAGTTCCTTCCACATTTAAATGCTGTCCAGTCGTGTGGGGAGAACTGGCTAAGCACGCGCGAGCCTTTGACCGCAGTCCCCTTGTTTGCCGTAGGCCGCGCCACTCGTAAGGCTGAAACGCATGTATTTCTAGCGCCCGCAGGTAAAACTTAGGTGGCTCCTCACCTTCACTTCCAAATACTGGCAAGTCTTCATGCCTATCGTGTCGTATTAGCATCCCAGATGTTTTACATCCGAGATTCCCAACACTCACCCAGATAAGTTCCTAGCCAGTTGCAGACTAGAACATCAAGTATCCACTGCGGAAGCAAAATTATCCAGCGCCAAGTCCAAGAAGGTAGTCCGTACGTTGTCCCCACCAACACTGTCAATCAACAAGTTT